TGGCAGCATGAGGGCGTGCAGGAGCTGGTGCAGCCTGACTGGCAGCATGGGGTGCAGATGAGGCTCAGGCAGGGAGCCGGGGCACAGCAGCTGGGCTGGCAGCAGCTGGGGGCACAGCAGGAGGGCTCGCAACAGCTCTCTGGGCAGTCATCCACCTGCCAGGGCTCGGTGTAAGTGCTGGAGCAGACGGACATGGTGGAGGCGGCCATGGCAGGTTGGGTGGGAGAAAGGGTGAGTGTGCGAGTGTGTGGATGAGTATGTGAGTGTAAGTGCTGTGTGAGGTGCTGGGCTCTGGCCTTTTATCCTCATCCCTGAGGATGTCCCCAGATTGTCCTTCCTTGTTGATGATCCCAACTCTGTTGTCATCAGGGATGTTTATTTTCAGTGTGTCCGGTTTGTTGATCTTCGGCCGTATCCATCTAGGATCAACAGTGAGTGACCTGGGCCCATTCTAGTTCAGAAGTGCTGAGGACTGGGGTGTCAGTGGTCCTGCATGATGGCCAGGGTCCCGGGTCTGACCACAAGAAGCATGGTGTGGGCTGGAAACACACAGCAGCCTCGCCCACCCAAGCCACCTCCTGTTCACTGTGCCCTCTTCTCCTGAGCACAGTTTTGTCATGAGCGCCTCTCACTGTCTCTCTGTTAAATTTTTCCCACTGTGTAGCACAGAAATCCACAGGTTCCCACCTCATGGATTGACTTTACAATATCTCCCAAACCATGAACACTTACTCCACAATGTCGTGTTGGTCATGGTTTCACATTTTATGCACCAAACACACATGTACCTCTGTCATTACAGAATGAGATGTGTCTTGTGTGCTGTGAGGGGGGACTTCCTCTGTCACCCTGAACCTGGCAGAGCTGAAAGCCATACCTTCTCCTAAAATGATGCTAATACTCGGGCCAGCCCTCACATCATGGGGCTGTCTCAGTGGGATACAAGAAGATACCTGCCACATCCTACCCCAAACTGCCTAGGTGGTCAGAGCTGGGAGTGGGGCCCCACAGTCTTCTGAAAGTGCAGTAACTGCAGGAGCGAACACTCTACTGTGCCATGGCATCAGCCCCTGAAGCAGGTCCTTACTGACAGGGCAGGAGCAGAAGCCCACTACAGAGACATCAGGCTTAGATGTGGCGAGTCCCAGCTCTGCTGCCCCTGCCTTCCATGCCTGCCCCCAGTGCTTCAGAGGACACAAGAAAAAGGAGATGTGCAGGACAAGGAGGCTTCCCACACTGTCCCTGGGGCCCACACAGGTTTTCTCAGATGAGGTGAGACCTACGGGTTCCAGTTTGAGCGGGAGTTCAGGGCTGCCTGGTTTGGGTATGTATTTGTCTCACTTGGTACCAGGAAGCACGCTGCCTATCACCGGCCTTCTAAGTTTCTCTGAGCTCTTCTGACTGAGGGTCTCTGCTGGTCCCTGCTTTCCCCCTCCTTCCCTTGCCCCTTTGCAAGGGGACATCTGTGAACCATATGCTTGTTCTTCCTGCTCACCATACCATCTCTAGGGACCAAAAATGGTGCCTGATGCACAGTAGATCCTGACAAAACTAGTTGGAGAAGAATGGGCTTTATGTGTAAAGAAATTATTAAGGAGCAAGTTTGCATTCTGAAATGATTATTTGGGGCCAACTTTTCCTGAGAGGTATGAAGTGCTCTGCCAAGTTGAGCAGTTGGCCCCAGGGAGACCAAGGCACCATGGGATAGGGTGGGGAGTGAGACAGAGCCTGGGGCCACCTGAGGACTTCCCTCTGGAGCCAGATCACAGCCCAGAAGCTCAGGGGCTGAGCAGAGCTTTCCCTCTCCTCAGAATGGAAGAGAAGTCAGAGCTTGGGACCTGAGAAGAGGGGAGACTTGGGTAAAGCACCCAGGCTTTCAGTTGCAAACTCTGAACATAAGCGGAGGGCTGCTTCTGGGAGGAAGCGAGGCAGAACCTGAATGAGCTCAAGCTGGACTCAGGTGCCTCTCCGGAGCACAGCTCTTTGCCAGAAACAGCACTTCATTCTCCCTGGCCCAGGCAACATCAAAAAAGGCTCTAATGACCTTCACATATTTTCATCCCCGGTGTCTCCCTTCAGTCAAATGTTCCCACGCAAGCTAGAAGGTAGGAGCAACAGGCACAGGACCAGGAAATAAAGCAAGCAACAGAACCAGGTACAGAAGGCCCATCCAGATGTCTGAATATTCAAATATCTGCTTAGCTAACTGTAAGCTGTTTTTTTCTCAAGAAAATTTGGAGCCACGATAGAGAATTTCAGTGGCCACTTCAACTGTATAAAAAAAAAAAAAAACAAATATACCTTTTAGAAATGAAGAACACAGTAAGTGAAGTGAAAGCAGAGCAGACTAGTTTAACGGCATATTAAACAAAACCAGAGAGATTAGTGGAGGGCAGGAGATGAGGAAATCTCAAGTCTAAGCCTGGAGAAGGGAGGGGATACAGTTGAGGAGTGGAGCACTGCATACAAGGCGCATGGAGGGAAAATGGTTTCAATCAAGGAGTACAATGAGCAGAGTGGTAAAGGTTTTTGATGTAAAATAGACAAGGACTTTAAACTGTCAGAGGCCATTAACCCACAAGTGCAAAGACCATTTGAGCAAATCACAGCTAGACACATTTAGGCTGAAATTCAAGGACACAAAAATAGAAGAATAGTGAGAGGGGACAAGAAAACAGCCATAGTGTCTTACTGAAGAGTGGCAGAGGACTTCCTGGTGGAAATGTTGGGGGCCTGAACACCAGAGATTGTATCTTTATCTTCTAAATGAAGGCAAGCACAAAATTGGGTCTGTGCCTGTGAAGCTGTCTTTTGGGAACAGGAGAAAATCTTACTTTATCAGCAAAAGCCATGAGGGGAACAAGTTGGCAACAGGATCTGTCCAAGCAAAGTACCGAAAGGAGTTTAGAGGTAGGAAGAAAATGAAAACAGGTGAAAGGAAGAAAAGCAACAAAGCACTGGGGTTGAACATGAAGGTCACATGTGGCATGTTGCATGAACATGGACTGTACCAGTGTCACTTTGTGAATGTTCAAGAAATAAAACACATGCAATAAGAGGAGGAGGCTCCATGGAGCTGAAGGGGCTGAGGACTGTGGGACATCATGATGATAAGAGTCAATGAGTCAAAATGTTGAGCAGCTCTATGGACGGACACACCTAGCTTCATGCCTTCAGAATATGCCAATCAACAATGACAAGAAATGAAGTAGATCATTTCAGTTCTACAATAACAGCTGAAGACTTTCATAAAAGACCATTGCTAACCTTAGAAAATTATAGAACTAGATCTGAGTTCAGAAGGAAATAGAGGACTTAAAGAACAACACACATGGGACCGGGGAGATGGCTCAGTGGAATGAGTGCTTCCCTGCAAGTGCAAGGGTCTGAGTTCAATTCCCGGTTCCGCAAAAAAAAAAAAAAAAAAAAAAAAAAAAAAAAAGAACAGCACACACTAACCAGGACAACAGACACACATGAAGCACTGTAGGAAACCACAGTAGGATGCAGATTTCTGCCCATTGCATGTGCAAAATTCTCCGAGTGTCAAGCTACAAACTAGGCTCAGCAATTTAAACTCAGCTGAAAGCATACAAATGATCTTCTTGATCATAATGGAAAGAAACTAGAAATTCAAACAGGAAGAACACTGAAATTCACAAATATGGGTGAATTAAACAACACTCAGACAACCACAGACAACCACTGGGTCGAAGAACTCAAATGGATGATGAAAAATGCATTGAAATGAAAGACAAGAAATCACAAAAACTCAGATCTTGTGAGATGCAGTGAAAACTGCACTCAGAAAACTTGACCTGTTTGAACTTTACCTTCTACAAAAAAGATCTCAAGTCAGCAATTTAACTTTCTACATAAGGAAATTACAAAAGGAAAAGCAAACTAAATCTAAAGCCCACAGAAGAAGGAAAATAAGGATTAACATACAGGTAAATAAAACAGAGGATAGAAAAACAATAGAATCAATGATATCAATTTTTGGTTCTTTCAAAAAAAGATAACAGAATTGAAAAAGCTTTTAGCTACACTGATTAAAAATGAAAGACAAACATCAGCACTGACCTTGTATAAACAAAAAGATTGCAAAGAGTAGTGTTAATGGGATAAGCAAGTTGTAGTGAGCAAATCCCTATGAACACCCTGATGTTCCGACTTGACACCTTTACTGTAGCTCTTCCATCCTTTCCATAGCTTCAAGTTACTGTCTAGAGCCAGCTTATTTCCCTCTGGATTAGCATCTCTTGCAAGGCGAATCTCGTAGCAATTCATTTCCCAGCTTGTGTGTATCTGTAAATGTGCTGCATTCATTGTCATGTTGAAGTATAATTTTGGAGGTGTAAACTCTTCTGGTTAGGGGTGGCTCCCCCACACCAGACTTTCAGTGTTCCATTGCATTCTCTCTGACCCCCACCATTTCTGCTGAGAATCAACTGTTACCCTGACTGAGTGCACTCAAGATTTTTTTTTTTTTTTAGAACTGGGGATTGAACTCAGGACCTTGCTCTTGCCAGGGAAGCACTTATTCTACTAAGCCATCTCCCCAGCCCCAAGATTTTGTTTCTAACATACAGTAGTTTGATTATATATGTTTCTATGCAGCTCTCATTGAGCTTATTTTGCATGGGGTATATGAGTTTCTTGAAAGTCTAGATACATGCATTGTGTTAAGACTAGGAAGGTTTTGGCCGTGAATGCTTTAAATTGTTTTATTCTTTCCCACTTCTCTCCTTCAGCAACTCCTGAGAAGTACACATTGGTATGCTGGAGGTTGTCCCATGAGGGTCTTACGATTTGATCACTTTTCTTCCTTTAAATAGTCCATTCCAAATTAGAAGATGCAGATCCAACTACAAAGACATTCAGCCATCTTCTACTTGACAAAGGGGCCAAACATGTTCACTGGAAGAAAGATAGCCTCTTCAACAAATGGTGCTGGAAAAACTGGCTCTCCATATGCTGAAGATTAGAGCTAGATCCGGGTTTATCACCATGCACTAAACTAAAGTCAAAATGGATTAAAGATCTAAACATTAAAACAGAAATAGTAAATCTCCTGGAAGAGAAAGCAGGTGGAAATCTTGAAGACATAGAGGTAGACAGGCAGTTCATGAACAAAAATCAAGCTGCATGGGAAATACTTCAAAGAATCAACAATTGGCACCTCCTCTTATTGAGAAGTTTTGCACTTCAAAGAAAATTACCAATAGAGTGAAAAGACAACCCACAAATATGGAATAAATTTTAATTAATAATCACTCAGACAAAGGTCTTCTATCTAGACTATACAAAGAACTAAAAAAAAGTTAGTGTCCCAAAATTTAAAGACGCAGTTCAAAATGGGCATCTGAGATGAATACATATTTCTCAGAGGAAGAAATAGAAGAGGCAAATAAATAACTGCAAAATATTCCACATCACATTTTATTTTAATGCAAATTAAAACAGTATTGAGATACCATTGAGATACCATCTCACCCCAGAAAGAATGGCTATCATAAAGAAATCAACTAAAAATAAAGGCAGGAGAATCTGCAAGGAAAAAGGAACCCTTCTCCACTGCTGGTGGGAATATAGACAGGTACAACCACTATGGAAATCAGTGTGGAGACTCCTAAAAAAAACTAGCACTGGACATTCCATTTAATCCAGCTTTCTCCTTATGGTTATTTTCCCAAAAGAACTGAAAACATTGTACCATATGATATATGTGCACCCATGTTTATAGCAGCACATTTTGTCATAGCCAAATCTTGGAGGCAACCAAAATGCCCATCACCTGAAGAATGAATGAAAAAGATGTTTTAGTTTTATACAATGGAATATTACTCAGCTATAAAGAAAGACAAACTTGAAGCCCTCATAGGTAAGTGGATGCAACTAGAAGCTGTACTCATAAGTGAA